TTTTTAAATAAGGGGACCACCACCCCGGTCTGCCAGTCCAGTGGGACTGCCCCCGATGTCCATGCGATATTGCAGAGCCGCGTCCGCCAACACAGCCCCACAACATCCAGAGCCTTAAGGAACTCTGGGCGGATCTCACCCATCCCTGGAGCCTTGCCACAGAGGAGCTTTTTAACCACCTCAGCGACCTCAGCACCAGAGATTTGTGAGGCCAACCCAAAGTCCCCAGACTCTGCTTCCTCACTGGAAGACTTGTCGGTGGGATTGAGGAGGTCTTCGTAGTATTCTGCCCACCGATCCACAACGTCCTGAGTAGAGGTAAGCAGCACACTGCCTCCACTATAGATAGTGTTGGTAGCGCACTGCTGTCCCCCCCTGAGGCGTCGGATGGTGGACCAGAATCTCCTCGAAGCAGTATGGAAATCTTGCTCTATGGTCTCACCGAACTCCTCCCATGCCCGAGTTTTTGCCTTGGCGACCACCCGAGCCGCGTTCCGATTGGACTGCCGGTACCCGTCAGCTGCCTCTGGAGTCCCACAAGCCAAAAAGACCTGATAGGACTCTTTCTTCAGCTTGACAGCATCCCTAACCGCCGGTGTCAACAACAACAAAGTCGATCATCGAGCTGCGGCCTAAGGTATCCTGGTGCCAAGAGCACATTTGGACACCTCTATGTCTGAACATGGGGTTCATTATGGACAATCCATGACTGGCACAGAAGTCCAATAACAAAACACCACTCGAATTCAGATCAGGGGGGCCATTCCTCCCAACCACACCTCTCCAGGTCTCACTGTCGTTGCCCACGTGAGCGTTAAAGTCCCCCAACAGAACGAGGGAGTCACCGGAAGGAGCGCTTTCCAGCACCCCCTCCAAGGTCTCCAAAAAGGGTGGGTAGTCTGAACTGTAGTTTGGTGCAAAAGCACAGACCACAGTCAGAACCCATCCCCCCGCACGTAGGAGGAGGGAGGCTACCCTCTCATTCACTGGGGTAAACCCCAACGTACAGAAAAAAACATACACAGTTAAAATGTACTTCATTAAGTGAGTGAAAGTGAAATATATCTGACATGTAATGACTTGAGCTGTGTGCTTAATTCTCTTTTTTCCTTCATCAGTACGTGTGTGAGATAGACAGGTCCTTATCTTATCTGTCCGTAAAAAATCATTGCATAACTCAGCTGTTTTCGGCTTGTTTTTATAACATGTATCTGTTTTTATGTGCGTATTTGCATCCTGAGGTCAAAAGTTGTGCATGTGCAGTCATGTCTCAATGCGTGATGCATCAACACAAATCCTTCTGAAGCATCGCTGAAACATTAGGCAACGTAAACATTCCTTTGGAGAACATGTGATTTTTTTTTTGTCATTGCAGGTATTTAGAAAAACGTGTAATCCATGCATAGTTAAATGACCCATGAAACTACACAGAAACATTACATTTCTTAGACAGTTCCAGGATCAGCTTGGATTATTATAACTTTTAAGGGATGAAAAGCAGCAAATTTGATCAAAACAATTTGCTTGACAAACATCCCTAATTTGATGGTGTTGAAATGCACCCATCACTTGGTGAAGATATGCAGCAGATGAGTTAGAAGACGCAATAATAGAAATACTAAAATAGCCTCAGGGAATACATTTAATTACCTTTGCAGATTTACAGATCTCAACTCAACCCTAACCCTAGCCCAAATGGGGATGATCCAGAGATATTTGTAATGGCAAAACACACTTTCTGGTTGTCTTTTAATTACTGTGAAACCTGTACCTTGGGTGCACTGGATATTGTATTAAATCACAACACTACAAACAGAACACTGAATTTAAAAAGTATTTTGAAGCTATAAAGTTACAATTAAATCAAAGGTCAGTTTCATTAAAAATAAAGCAAATTTTGCAAATTCATGAAATTTGCAATATGTGCACCAAAGGAGCAACACATGGGAAACACAAACAACGGGAATGGTTTTGCAGGTAGAGGACAGGGACATTGTTCTCTCTTCATCTTTTTTGGATGTTTTTTATTTAGTTTTTGGTCATTTTATCGTTGACTGGAATCATGAGAAACCTAGACCCCACAGAGGTTGCACAAACAGGCTTAAACCACCAGGATGGCACAACAATATGTAACTATTGCCAGAAGATTTAATGTGTCTCCTAACACAGTCAGCAGGGCCGCTGTGTGCTCATTTGTGCAAGGTGGACGAGTCCTTCTAGAACCCTAAAGTGACATCAAGGGGGCCTCTGGTGTAAATGTCTCCGACCAAACCATTAGAAACAGACTGCATGACTGTGACCCAAGGGCCGGAGGTCCTCTAGTGGGCCCTGTGCTCACTGCCTGGCACCGTGGAGCTCCACTGGTATTTGCAGGTTCACTCTGAGCTCATGTGACAGACCTGAAAGGGTCTGAAGAAGCCACGGTGAATGTTGTACTTTCTACAACATTGTTCAGCATGATGGTGACTCAGCATTAGTCTGGGGAGAACATCCATAAACATATGTCTGTAGATGATGAGCGACAGCACCCTGAACCTTTTGCTGTTGCAGTGGATCATGAGTTCTTCCTGGATGGTAATATCTGATCTCATCTGGTAAGAACATGCAGGCACTTTCTAGAGGATGAAGGACTTGATACCATTGACTTACACACCTGATCTAAATCTAGTGGGACATCATGTTCATGTCCATCAGACACCACCAGGTCAGTGATGAGGGGACTCTGAATGAAGAGAGAGGTAGCGTAGATCATTTTTGTTTTGATCAAATAATGTGTAGCTTGATTTTTTCCCCCCCAAGTGAAATCTGATGTATTTTCGAAGTGTTCCATTACATTTTTTATAATGAATGACATCCTGAGAGTCAGGAGCAAGAAAAAAAATCAATGATTTCTGCTGTTGGTGTAAAATACACATTTGGGACAAATGAAAAACAACCAAGGTTTGGACCATCCATCCATTTTCATCTGCTTATCCGGAGTCGGGTCACAGGGGCAGTAGCCTAGGTCGAGAGGCCCAATTCCTTCTCCCCAGCCACTTGGGCCATCTCCTCCGGGGGAATCCCAAGGCGTTCCCTGGCCAGGTGAGAGACATAGTTCCTCCACCGTGTCCTGGGTCTACCTTTAGGTCTCCTCCCGGTTGGACGTGCCCGGAAGGTTTAGACCAGGGGTGTCAAACTCATTTTAGCTCAGGGGCCACATTGAGGGAAATCTAGTCCCAAGTGGGCCAGACGGGTAAATAAAAAAAAAAAAAACTTCAGATTGTTTTCTTTGTTTTAATACAATCAATATAAAACAAGGCTGGAGCCTGAGGACAGTGTATCCAAAATAGTACAAGTACAACACCTGAAGTGTACTTGAAAATTTGAAAAAAAAAAAAAAATCAATCAATAAATAAAACATTCCTTAGTGATTCAAAGTGCTTACAGATCACATGGCTAGATCAGTTTCATGCAGCACTTAAAGCAGGGGTGTCCAATCCTGGTCCTCGAGGGCCGGTATCCAGCACGTTTTCGTTTTAAACTGTTTCAACACACCTGATTTCAATCAGCAGGTGATTAACCGGCTTCTGCAGAGCCTGATGAGCTGCTGCACAGGTGATTCAACCAGCTAATCAAGCGTGTTGAAGCAGAAAAACCACAAAACCTGCTGGTTACCGGCCCTCTAAGACCAGGATTGGACACCCCTGACTTAAAGTATATTTGACTCATTTTACTTTACATCTTTTAGCTTTCACCAGCACATCAATATCAGAAGTCACATCCTGAGTGGCAGCCAACTTCAGGATGTGATCCAAGTTCTTGTGTGAGTCTTGAGCACAGCTTTGTTTTATTTATACTCATTACAGAGAAAACTTGCTCACAAAGATAAGTTTATTTTCACTATATTGTAAAGTATGAAAATAAAGTTTACACAACCATCTCGCGGGCCGGATTTAACCTGTTTGCGGGCCGGATCCGGCCCGCGGGCCGCATATTTGACACCCCTGCTTTAGACCTTGCTAAGTTATTGTTGTAATTGTGTGTATTGTCTATTCAGGCCCAATGTAAAACCCTAATCCTAACACTGAAGAAACTTTTTAACAAAGAGTCGTTTTAAATCCTCGTTTTTCCTGATTAAAATTCACTTTATAGTATGTTTGTCGGAATCAACGAATAATCTTGACATTTTTAAATAAGTAAATAAATGTACACAAGTGCATTTAATTATTTTTAATTAAGTAAAACACTGCAAATGGCTTTAAAGAGTAACAGAAAGTTTTAAGGTTTTGTAGAAGTAAAAAAATATATAAGTATAAAAACTGTAGGGATCAGAGATGCTGGATCATTTGTTTTTCTTTCTTTCTTTCTTTCTTTCTTTCTTTCTTTCTTTCTTTCTTTCTTTCTTTCTTTCTTTCTTTCTTTACTTAGGCAACTTATTTATTTATTTATTTATTTTATTTATTTATTATTATTCATAGGACAATTAAACATAAAACCATTGAAATAACACTTAATAGTAAGCACTTGAGCATGCCGTGATAGTTTAAAATGAAAATTTTTAGGGTTTTGTTCTTACGCTTTTAACCGTTTTGTATTCACCTGTTAAGATGTGTTCTTCCCAGTTTTTTCCCCCGGATCTCTCCAAACCAGTTGCCTCTCTCCAGAACATTTAATATATATATATATATATATATATATATATATATATATATATATATATATATATATATATATATATATATATATATATATATATATATATATATATATATATAGCCTCTGTTTACGAAATGTGCTACAAATAAAGCTCATGTAATAAAATAAAGCTGCCTCACGTCAATTTTTTCTAAATAAAATAAAATGCGCGCAGCCTAGGAGAGATGGGTGTGTGTGTGTGTGGGGGGGGGGGGGGGGGGGGGGGGAGGGGGGGGGATGTCCGAGGTGTTGGAGACTGGGTCGAGGAGGAGGTGGAGAAGGAGGGGGGGAGGGTGAATTGGGCGTACACATAAAAACTGTAGGGA